TAAAAGAGCGCAGAACTGTCAGCTAAATTAAAGGAAATAAACAATGAACAGAGAGATATAACAAAGCATAATTAACATTTGCAAGGAAACAGTGAGGTTTTAACCTTGCTCTTACACAATTTATTGTTCCCCTATTGTATGCAGTTTAAATATGATTGATCGTCATCACGAAAGGAAACAATTCTTTGCAGTTTTTACTCTAGCTATAAAAATTGGTTTCCAAGGCTACTTGATTTCAGTTTTACACAATTGGCATTTGAAGGCGGGTGTCTAAGGCAGGTTTGACTTTAAGTTATAGGCATGCTTTAGATACAGACAGATGATGTTTACAAACTCGAAAATGCCAAGATGCTATGTATTAACAGCCAATGCAGATAGTTGAAAAGTGATGAATTCGTATCACACACCATCCTAAATGATATTTAAATTTGAACAATACTATTACAGCAGTTTTGTTTTTCTTAAAATCGAACAGAATGTATACATATAGGCTTAACATAAATTTGATATGTAAACTCCTTCTACACTGCAACAGTTCAAACGGAAGTCAAAAGATCATAAATATAAACTGAGATATACACATTCAAGCTAGTCCCTTCCTGTTTTCATTAAAGATAGTACTACAATAACTTCCCGGTACTTGCAATGACGGAAGTTCAAAGTTACTGCGATACTTTGATACATATTCATGAGTGTCAGGCCGAAACGATCACGACTATGTCACTCTTCGCGTATCTTACTTAACCATAGCATTTCCTAACAGCGAAATTTTCCCCTTTGCAGTAATTATGTTGATATTGTAACAAACGGAACAGATAACAGCGTAACTAGAATAAACTTGAAAATGTATATACACTCAAATACTTATACACAGATTATTTCACTTAACAACAAATACTGTCAAAATAATACGACAAAAATATATGTGTTCCTGATGGATTAGAGGCGAGGGAAAGTGGCCACGAATTCAACTGAATTTGAGCATGTTATCTACGGTAAACAGTTTATTTAATAATATGTATGTAGCCTTTACTTATATTTTTAAGCTAAACACCACATGCGTCTCCTGTCATGATGTGTGTATCAAAACTCCGACAGAAACTAATCTCATTTGCTTTTATTAATTATGGACTTTTGTTCAGGTAAACATGAGATTAAATGAACTTATGAAAAAAATATTATCCAGATGGACCATAAGCAAATCGCCAGAGGAAAAATAACTGCATTTGTCAGGCGTTACAAATGGAGTGACGTTATAATGTAAATATTTACCCGATGTGTCCAAAATAATACAAAAACAGGAGTCAATATCACAAATCAATGGCATTTGCGTGATAATGTTTTCAGCCAATGAGGACGTAGAGGAACATGATACCATGTAATACATAATGCGGGCCGACCTTTTTTTTTCTTGTGTATAATGACGACGTGTGGTGGTATGATTTTGTTTTTATTGGAGACGACTTCAGAATAAGACTGTGTTAGCTATCTTTATCTATATATAGATTAAGACTATATATAGTTTAAGAACGTGAATGCAAATGTGTACAGTGTGATATGAACTTAAAACAAGGAAGATTCTAGCACATACATGTATGTTATTGTGGAAAGATCCAATTCTATTGATATTTCTATAATGCTAATTATTTTCTATTAATATATTTTCATGCATATTCTCAATTATTGCTTCATGAAGAGATCAGATCTTTCTGCAATATCCTACAAAATGCTGAAAGCTTTTACAAAAATACGTCATGATAGGTATAATAAGAGTATAAATAAAGGGCAGAAGTCTAGAATTTAAATTACCAGCATACAGGAACAAAATATTCATGCAACCTAGACAAGAAAATAGCATTTAAAATTCATTGTATCGTACATTTATCATTCAAAAAAGTGGTATTGCAAGGTTTTTAGCGCATACCTGATGATTTGATGACAACATGATAATCTTCTTCTGATGAGGACACGAGACATAGAGGACCCCAGTCGCAGACACCGCCAGACTATCCACACGACCACGTGTATCAAACTGGTACACTCTCTCGTGTTTATTGTTGTACAAAGAAACCCACGAACACTTTTTGAAGGAAACATAGATGTAACCACCTTGTGTTGTCGCCAACCTTTCAACAGGTCCACACGATCTTTCACATGGACATGACAGCTCCACCCGGGCGTCTACTTTGATTACAAGCTTTTGAGATGTTTCGTCAGAGGTGTCTTTATCGCATTTAGTTATTTTACCCCACAGGTCTGTGGCCTTTGTTTTGATATTTCCAAAGCTTGACGATGCTCTGATATCAGGTTGATCATGTAATAGTGTACTTGATCTGTCTCTTTTTGTCCTCTTGTTGATATCGTCTATGCTCGTGGATTTTTTTATATCATGATTATCAGGTTCGATTACATTTAATTCATTATTGATATCCAGACCTTCCATTTTGTCTTCAAATTCCATGGAATTACATATATCGCTTTCGCTCACAGATCGCTGGAAAGACAATTTAGGATGATGCATGTTAAGTAGTCCTGGAGCTTTGTTTGAACTTATATCTTTTTGAAGCTGTTCTATTTGTTTCATTTCGTTTTCCAGTTCTCTGAGCTTTAAATACAAGTCTTGTTGTCTAAGTTTAGGCGTATCCAAAATATCGTCCTGTTCATCAGATTTAGTGTCACTATCCTGAATGGTTTCCATTGAGCTTATTGGATTCTTATCATCTAATGAATAGATACTATTAACTTTGAAGTAGCCATCAAAAAACGCACCGGACCTTACAGAACTTGCCGAGTCCGATGGATTCTCCATCGCGTTAAGTTTTGACGACTGTGACGGTGTATTCATGAAACGCGTTATTGATTCCGTAGAATCTATGACTTCAAAACTGTCACTTTGATTTTGATGTCTTTTTCTCGGCAGTGTTGGTAAATCGACACTGTTTGCGGGTTGTAAGGCATCAATACTTTCGCTACATGTACTAAAATCAGGTGTATAAAGTCTGGGTCTTGTGTCTGAATCCAAATCAGAAGATTTCTTGAACAAATCGCCAATAAAATACTTGTCAAGGCTGTCGGACATGTTTGTTTATAATCCAGAGTAAAACTTATGGTGTGTTTCGTCGGTTTCACAACTGCCACTTAGGTGTAATAGGGTACATTCTGGAATGATGTTATCGAATGCATTTCCAGTGCAGACATCCCAGCTTTCTGCTAATTGATTTGTGTCTTCATTGCCGTTTGGAAAGGTCATTAAGTTCACGGTTTCTGGCAGCCTGTATGGAATAGAAACACAGAAAATTAATCAGCAACATACTACATAAATTATGATTACAGAATTTGTCTATAGGAGTTTAGAGTCTAAAACCTCAATTAAATATAGGAATTCATATGCATAATTCGGAAACGAGAACTTTATGTAACATTATGTAAACGTTATAAAATGTCAATAAGGGGTCTTCATGGATATGAGAGTAGTTGTCTTTCCCCGACTAGGAGACATATGGTATACTAAAAGGAATACCAAACACTGACTTCTTATTGACTAACTCTGTATCACTTTTCATCTAAAAACTGTTATCTATTAATGACAAATAAAACGTAATATAATATAAAAAATATAAAAACTAACAATTTTGAAACACAATTGCGATATTCGTGTTATGAGAGTGATTTCACAATTGTAAAATTACGAACAACATTTCTCCGAAATATTCTTACATTAAAAGATTTACAGAAGAAGAATAGTTTTCCCCTTACAATCAATTTTAAGAGTCGTTTTCTGAATTATTGTATTAGTGATCCGTAAATTGTACCTTAACTTTTAACTTTACCACAATATCTTTCACTTATCGCTGATGACTCTCACTATGTATTTGTCTTTCCCTGTACTTAAGGCATTTATTTCTACACATTACCACAGTTTCCAAAACACTGTTAAATACACAAAACTATTTTGTACAATTTGTATGAAACTTTTAAAGAAGACACGTATATTGAACATCTTAAATGAGTATTAATATATCGGTCTTTAACTACCTAAGATCAGTGTCATTTATTGTTTATAATGAGTATGGGTTGTATCGTTTGAAGCCTTCTACTTCTAATCCAATGCCTTTTTTACTACTAGTATTTACAGGTACCGTTTTATACATTGTTTTTTCTAACAAATATCGTTTATACATGAGATAGCACATCTTAATCACTCGTGACTTATGTTTTATATATGATATCATCTTTGCAGGCTTTTCTGTGATATATACACGAATACATTGCGGTCTTCGGTCCTTCCCAACGGTACTTCTAAATGCCCCAAACAATACGATCTTGAACAAATCTTACTTCCACAAAGTTTGGCGATAGAATCATAAACGTATATGCCTGTCTCCTTAAATGGAATACCATCAACTATTCTTTCATCAGTTTTCCATGAAAATAAAAATTTAAAATTAAATGTATATGTCAGATTGTTTTTGAGAAAATATTTGTGAGCTAACATTTTCGAATAAATTCGTCGTATATCGTTTTTTATGGATTTTTTTGTATGTTGTTGTTACTAGGTCGAAAATCACAACGGTATATAAGTTCGGATTTATTATAAAAGTATTTGAGTTAAATAATGAATATCTGACTGCTAATAATAGATTAGCGATTCAGTAGATCTCATTTTATTAATAACACAAAAAGTTTTCCGAAACGAACTCTAGACTTTTCGACAATTATTTACATTGTCGCTACTTTCTACACAAGGCACCGACATCTGGTTGCGATGCAATCATGACTATGGGTTTGAGTTCAAAATAAAGAGATTAAGCATCGAAAAAAGAAGAGAATGAAGCGTAGCGCAAGGGACCCTTGTAGGAAATTGTTTTTCCATACCCTTATATAGTTAATTATATACAGTAAAACACTTTTTGAAGCACAGAAAAGATATCGAATTTGTACTCCAAAATGAAACCCGTTGTAACTCCACAGGACCACTGAATTAGTTTTCTACAGTGAAACACATTAATACATACTGTTCTCCAGAGTAAAATGCTTTTATAGCAAACGTCTAGGGATTAACGAAATTAGTTTTCTACAGCTAAACACTTTTATAGCAAACCTTATGGGGCCTATCCAATTCTTTTTCCACACATACCCCTCTATGTTTGAAATTTATTTCTTTTCAAGCACGATTTCGTACATGTAATAAGTGTGCTCAAACGATGAGTGTCTTACTTAACGATAACTCGCAATGGAATGCTCCAGTATTCCTAAAAGGCACCACACTTACAAATATGTTTAAACGTTCAGTAAGTTGCGTCTTCAATAAATCCTCTAACGTTTACTCTTACATAGTTTGTATATTCGTTCTTTGCTTATTTAAAATAGTAGTATACTTTTGATTAATAAAACAATTGACATACCTGGGATTTGATTTTCTAGTTAGATGTTGTTATTCAGTAAGCTTCCCTTGAGTTGTCAATGGTTTTCTTGAAAGGAAGTGGTGGTGGGTGGTTCGAAACATCATCAAGTAGGTCAGCATTGATATCCTGTATACCATCTTGTCTGGGGATAGCCATGTGTGGCGTTGTGTGGTTGAATATAATCACAAACATAAACTAATGTTCACTTCCGCCAGTTTGTCATTGTAATAAAATTTCTCCTGAAACGTCACTGCGACTTAGACAATATATTATCCTACCAAACTACATATAATATCAATATATATGCCACGGAGTCAATGGCAGGAAAACACTACACGAATATGGGATTATAGTTTACAATCACACATCTCCAGATGTTTACAACGCATGCACAAGTATTAATGATCTTGCATGCTATTTGTATCAACTATATACAACCCCTTGTCGTGAATACACAGTGTACAATGAAGTCATGTGAGAAGGATCACTGCCTAATATTTACAATTCCCGGTAACGTGATCACCAGAATATGTACACTGTTGAAGTATTTGTATACTGGAACAATTATATTGTCGAGGCTAAACAATCGTTGACTGAGACCTCATTTCCGAAACGAATACAACATAGTTTCTATTTCCTTATTTAGCGTAGCGTCGTTCTCTGAAAGGACACTGTAGCATTGCTTTCGTATACATGTGAAAATGGCATTTCGTTAAATCTACTCAAACTGATTTAAATGTTACAATTTACACAGGTCACAGTTTCACGAAAGGTGTCCACAAAATCGATGTCGATTTCGGCTACGCTGTAAGCATATGTACAATCGTTGTTATATATGTAACGAAATGACTCGATTCATCCATACTTACCAACCTGAAGAAAGTATTTAGAAATATAGGAACCTTCTTTCACTTTAGATGTCCTGGTGTCATTCTGATATCGGTAATGTATTTTGTTGTATGATGCATTAATTGAAAGCTTAGTAGGCCTCTTTTCTCACATCACTATAATTGTAACAGCAAGTTCATATCTTACATCTTTGTATCAACAAACCAGTAAACATGATATTTTGTCTTTCTTAATTTCATACATATTGTTTAAAAACGGAGAACACTGAGGAATAAAACTCAATTTACTATTTACAAAATAGTAAATTGGTGTAAATTTGGTATTTACTTATGAATATATGTAATAGAGCGAACAACGTTTATGACGGTTTTCATTAAAGATGTCTGACAATCCGCACCTTATAACGAATACATGAGAGAAACATGTGTGATGATATTTCCAGATGCTAGAACTATCTGCCCCTCCGTATTCATTGACGCCGTTTCAACTGTACGTTTTACTAAACGTTCATCCTTAGTTGATGTCGATGTTTCCTCGAAGGTTCCTAGGTACTCTCCTAGTCGTGTGATTGACAGTGTTCCAGCTCCTCCTTGAACAACGTAGAACGAGCTAACGGGGTTACTTGTAAGAGCATGTACATGCCACAGTGGCACTCCTCCGAGTGAAGAAAACGTCCTCAACATATATCCTCCTTTATCCAAAACAAACAAACATCTCAAACCGAAATCTGACACTAATAAAAGTCCATTCATGTTAATGGTTACCTTTACCGGATATCCGAAATAATTTCCTTTGTTCACAATTGTCCCGGTTTCCTTTGGCGTTTCGCCTTTGAATTGCATCAGACAACTGTCCTTTGAAGGCTCTTCCATATCATGCCCCACAGGCTGAGACGTCATACAGACTATCAGGGTGCCGTCGTACGGGGAAACGGCAATTCCTCGTGGATACAATTTCGTGAAAGAGCGCAGAACTGTCATCTAAACGAATGGACATAATCACAATTAAGATCTGCAAGGAAACAGTGGGATTTTATCCTTGTTCGTACACAATTAATTACACCCCTGATTGCTGTATGCAGTAAGAACATGCTACAGTGTCATCATAAAAGGAAACAATCTCTTGCAGGTTTTACTCTAGGTATGTACAATTGGTTTCAATGGTTACTTGATTTAAGTTTACACCTGACATTTTACGGCAGGTGCCTAAGGTAGGTTTGACTTTAAACTACGGGTATGATATAGTTACAGAGAGGGGTGTCTTCGCCCTCAAAAATTCCAGGTAGTTACATATTTATAGACAATGTAGATAGTTTGTAGTTATAGAGAGGTGATGACCTCGTATCATACACCATCCTAAATGATATGTAAGATTTTAACAATACCGTTACAGGAGTATAACTATTTCCTTAAAATGGAACAGATTGTATAGGTTTAACTTAAATTTGATATGTAAATTACTTCTACATTGCAACAGTTAAAACGGAAGTCAAACGTTCATGAATGTAAATTGAGACATACACATTCAAGTTTGTCGCTTCCTATTTTCAATAAAAACAGTATTACTACAATATATTACAATAATATTCTGGTACTTGCAATGACGAAAATTCAAGGTTATAGCGATAAAGTTCATTTTCACGAGTGTCAGGCCTAAAACACCACGATTAGGTCACACTTCCCATATGTAGTTGTGTTTTTTTTTTATCCGCATTGTTTGATAAAATACAGTTGTGAGATCGCACTTCGTTACACGATGTGCAAAGCTCACACGAAGTGTTCACGGTCTGTGCACGGTCTGTGCACGGTCTGTGCAACGATGTTTGCACGATGTGCGAACGATAGACGACGTTGTGCGATAACAATCGTGGTTGGTGTAAATTTAGGAATGGATTGATAAAAACGGTTTCCTGTTTAAACATATAAACTTGATTTTTAAGTTTGTTTCTTTATTCTAGCTACATCTATATGAATTATTATGATTGTATCATTAAACCATATGGACCATACAAAAATCGTCAAGGGAAACAAACTCAACTAGACAGGCACCTTAATGTTATGACGTTACAATTTAAATATCTATCTGATATTAAAAAAATAATTAAAACAGGAGTCAATATTAGAAATCAATGACATTTGCGTCATAATGATTCAACCGTTAAGAAAATAAGGGAACATGATACCATGTAATAGATAATTCCATGCCACCATTTTTCTCTTGTATATAATGACAACGGCTTTGGAAAGGTATCAACTATCTTTATAATTATAGCAAGGATGTTTCTAAAACATACATGTATGAAAGTGTGGAAGGATTCAATTCTGTTGATATTTTTAATTCCATAATGATGACTATTTCGTACTATTTATTTATCTATTTTCATGCATATGCAAACCAGTCATAATGCAATAAACATAAATAAATGTTTATTTTAGAAAACTGTCCTAATAAAGCAAGTAATTCATGATTTTGAATGGACGAAAAATTGTCAACGCATACCTGAAGATTTGATGACAACATGATAACCCTCTTCTGAGGAGGACACGAGACATAGAGGACCCCGGTCGCAGACACTGCCAAACTATCCACACAACCACGTGTATCAAACTTGTACACTCTCTCGTGTCTATTGTTGTACAAGAAAACCCAGGAACACTGAATGAAGGCCACCCACATGTACCCTCCTTGTGTTGTCACCAACCTTTTAATACGTTCACATGATCTTTCACATGGACATGACAGTTCCACCCAAGCGTCTACTTTGATTGAAACCTTTTGAGATGTTCCATCAGAATTGTCTTTATCGCGTTTAGTTATTTTTCGCCACAGCTTGGTGGGCTTGGTTTTGATATTTTCAAAGCTTGATGATGCTCCCATACTAGGTGGATCATGTTTTGTTGTACTAGATCTGACCTTTTTTGTCCTCCTGTTGAGATTGTCTATGCTTGAGGATTTTTTCATGTCATGATTATTACTTTTGACTGCAATCCATTCATTAGTGATATCTTGACCTCCCATGTTGTCTTCAAAATCCAAGGATACATAGATATCGCTATCGCTCAATGATCGCTGAGAGTAAAACTTAGGACGATGAATGCTTGATTCTTCCAGAGTTTGGGTTGAACTTTTCTGAAGCTGTTGTATTTGGTTTACTTCTTGTTCCAGTTCTCTGATCTTTTTTAAATACAAGTCTTGTTGTCTAGATGTAGGCATGTCCCAGATATCATCTTTTTCACCAGATTCAGTATCATAATCCTGAATGTTTTTAGATGTGACTGGTGGATTTACATCTTCTAAATGAAAATTACTGTTTTCCCGGAAATAGCTTTTCAAAAACGCACTGGACCTTTTAGGCGTATACAACATGGGTCTTGTTTCTGTGTTTTCAAATTCAATGGAATTATTAATATCGCTTTCGCTCACAGATCTTTGAGAGGACAACTTAGGATGATGAATGTTTAAAAGTCCTGGGGCTTTGGTTGTACTTGTATCTCTCTGAAGCTGTTGTATGTGGTTCACTTCTTGTTCTCTGAGCTTTTTTAAATACACGTCTTGTTGTCCAAGTTTAGGCGTGCCCCAAATATCGTCCTGTTCTTCAGATTTGGTGTCACTATACTGGATGGTTTCCATTGAGTTTGTTGGATTCGTATCATCTAAAGAATAGATACTGTTAGCTCGGAAGTAGCCATTCAAAAACGCACAGGACCTTATAGAACTTGCCGAGTCCGACTGATTCTCCATCGCGTTAAGTTTCGACGACTGTGACGGTGTATGCATGATATGCGTTATTGATTCCGTAGAATCTATCACTTCAAAACTATCACTTTGTTTGTTTTCTCTTTCTCCCAGCAGAGTTGGTAAATCGACACTGTTTGCGGGTTGTAAGGCATCAATTCCCCTGCTACATGTACTAAAATCAGGCGTATAAAACATGGGTCTTGTTTCTGTGTTCAGATCAGAAGATTGCTTGAACAACTCGCCAATTAAATACTTGTCAAGGCTGTCGAACATGTTTGTTTTTAATCCAGAGTGAATCTTATGGTGTGTTTCGTCGGTTTCAGAATTGCCACTTAGGTTTAAAAGGGTACATTCTGGAATGATGTAATCAAATGCATTTCCAGTGCAGACATCCCAGCTTGCTGCTAATTTATTTGTGTCTTCATTGTCGTTTGGAAAGGTCATTAAGTTCACGGTTTCTGGCAGTCTGTATGGAATAGAAACACAGAAAATTGATCAGCAGCATACTACATAAATAATATCTACAGAATATGTCTGAAGGAGTTTAAATCATATCTAAAACCTCAATTAAATATAGGAATTCATATCTAAAATTCGGAAACAACCTTGCATTTTTGATTATTATGTTTTGTTTTAAGCATACGTTAATTAAGGTAATCATATTTATGAACGTAATGTAAACGTTATAAAATGTTTATCATTTATCAGGAAAAAGAGTGCTTTGGTACGTTTTGATGAATTTGTAGATTTCTACTTTATCAAAAGTAGAATGACGGACATACACATTAAAATCGGCATATCAACAAACACATATTTGAGTTTTGGCGATCGGAAGTTTTCTTCATTCATAATCAATAAGGGGTCATGGAAATGAGAGTAGTTATCTTTCCTCGACTAGGAGACACATGGTATACTAAAAGGAATATCAAACTGTGCCTTCTTATTGACTAACTCTGTATCACTTTTCATCTAAAAACTGTTATCTATCATTGACAAATAAAACGTAATATAAAAGATAAGACTTACAAAGAAATGCAACTTCATTGAAGTCAATGATTTGCATGTAAAAACTAACAATTTTGAAACACAGTTACGATATTGGTGTTATGAGAGTGATTTGATAATTGTAAAATTACGCACAATATTTCTCCGATTCTTAAGTTAAAAGAATTACAGAAGAAGAATAGTTTCCCCCTAACAATCAATTCTAAGAGTCGTTTTCTGAATTATTGAATAGTAAAAAAGGTAACTATCGTCCATTATATATATAAAAATTGCACAACGAGTGGTTGTTGAATATGGTGAGGTTCTATGGTTGATGTTTATAGTGAGAGTATGTTGTTCACTCGAGTTAATTAATTTTCAAAAGTTACAAAAGACACGAGCTTTGGAAATTAACTAAAGAGAGTGAAATATATAACATACTCAACAACCACGAGTCGTGTGATCTGTTTCTACCACAATCTCAATCGGAAATAGCTGGAGAATTTCCTGATTTTAATAGCATACACATATTTTGTTGACAAGGCTGGCGTAGTGATATGACCCATATGTAAACAGTCACTCATTAATATTAAAAAATACCGGTTTTTTATTACAAATTTAATCATTTTCAAAATTAATGTTTTGGCAATAACTTCGTGAAAAAATAAAATAGATGAACGACTTTGAATATTGAGAGTATGCAATATTACATTAATTAATATAAATTAACCACGAACTATATGCGGGGCGCCAAGTGATGAAGACGAACTAATCGCTGTCAATGTCCAAAACCATAGGCCTGGGACTTTTCTTCGTGAGGTTCTATGGTTGATGTTTATAGCGAGAGTTCCGATATAGACAGGCCCTCCAAATATTGATAATTGGACATGGGGAGAACGAATTTTTTTTCCGACACTGTTACAGATCTTGTTTGGGTTTCACAGAGACATATATTACGACTCTGGGTTTCACGATCTCGACACGAGACGGTATGGAGTCGAAACAATATCGAGCGTCTGTAGCAATTTTGCCTGAAACTAGCGATCAAATCTTTAAGCATCAAAACTACGGAAAGTCATATACCACGTGTCAACAGTCTAAATGTGTATACAATGATCTGAGAGTAGAATAACACAGCGTATTGTGATAGAAAAAGTTGGAAATGCCGTTTGTATTAGTTAACCTTATATTGAACCTTAACTTTTAACTTTTCCACAATATATTTCATAACTTACCGGTGATGAATATCACTATACATTTGTCTTTCCCTGTACTTAAGGCATTCATTTCTACATAATAAAACATTTTCAAAAACACTTTTTAATACATAAAACTATTTTGTACAATTTGTATGAAACTGTCCAGTGCCATCTATAGTTGATAATGCATATGGGTTGTATCGTTTACCGCCTTCTTCTATTATTTGCAGGTACCTTTGTTTTAAACATTGTTTTATCTAACAAATATTGTCCACAATATCAAGAAAATGACATAGCACATCTTAATCACTCGTGACTTGATATGTTTTATATATGATATCATCTGTGCAGGCTTTCCTTTTATATTTACACGAATATATTCCGGTCTTCGGTCCTTTCCAACGGTGTTTCTAAACGCCCCAAGCAATACGGATTTTTTTTACTTCCACAACATTATGCGATAGAATCATAAACATATAGCCATGTCTCCTTAAATGGAATACCATCAACTATTATTTCATCAGTTTTCCATGAATATAATTTACTCTTACATATCATATTTTGTATATTCGTTCTTTACTTATTTAAAATATTAATATACTTTTGGTTAATAAAACAATTGACATACCTGGGATTTGAGTTTCTATTTCGATTTTGTTCTTCAGTAAGCTTCTCTTGAGTTTTCAATGGTTTTCTTGGAGGAAGTGGTGGTGGGTGGTTCGAAACATCATCAAGGAGGTCAACATTGATATCCTGTATACAATCTTGTCTGCGGATAGCCATGTGTGGCGTTGTTTTGTTGAATATAATCACAAACAAAAACTGATGTTTACTTCCGCCAGTTTGTCATTGTAATACAAAATCTCCTGAAACGTCACTACAACTTAATCATTATTTTATCCTACCAAAATATATATAATATTAATATATATGCCAAGGAAACAATGACAGGAGAATACAACACGACTATGGAATTATAGTTTACAATCACGCACCTCCAGATGTTTTCAACGTATGCACAAGTGTTAATGATCTTACATGCTATTTTTATCATCTATACAAACCACTTGTCGTGAATACACAGTGTATAAAATTAATGAAGTCATGTGAGATGAATCACTGCCTCATATTTACATCTCCCGGTAACGTGATCACCAGAATATGTACACTGTTGAAGTATTTGTATACTGGAACAATTCTAAACAATCGTCGACTGATACCTCATCTTCGACTCGGATACAACATAGTTTCTATTTCCTTATTTAGAGTGATGTTGTTCTCTGAAACGACACTGTGTCATTGTTTCCGTAAACATGTGCATAGCGCATTTCGTTAAATCTACACAAATTGCTTTAAATATTACAATTTACACAGGTCACAGTTTCACGAAAGTTCATCACATTGGAACCTTCTTTCATTAATTATGAAAAGTCCTTTTGTTTACAACCAATAACATTTTCTATGTGACGTTTCGATGACTAGTACGATATGTACACTGTCACTTTCATCAGACAAATGACCAGTGAAGCGTATGCACACAAAGGTGTAAAATGTGTACGAGTTGTCCACAAAATCGTTGTCGATTCGGCTACGCTGTAAGCATATGTACAATCGTTGTTTTATATGTATCTAAATGACTCTATTTATCCATACTTCCCAACCTGAAGAAAAAGTTTAGAAATATAGAAACCTTCTTTCACTTTAGAATTCCAGGGGAAAATATTACTGAAGTTGAGGAAGTTTGTCTTTATTATATATTTTAATTATTATAACGTTTTCCTGATTAAAATCTTCATTATATAGGTTTCGTTATGTTTAAGAAAGGTGGTGAAAATAATGCCAGGGCTAGCGTGTATTACACTATTAGAGAAGTGGTTGTGTATATACAAGATTGAAGCCTCATTGGAATAGGACTATTCTGCTCAATCTTTTTCCATTCCACTGTTTTGTGTTTTTAATTTGTTAAAGCATAAAATTAAACAAATATGGACTTTAGTGATAGCCTTTATATGAAAAGACCTGTAAAGTGATATTGAACTTAGCTTTTTTCGACTATTGTATTGTAGGTTCATATAACATGATATTCATGATCACAAAAGTCAATAATTATATAGTGATGTATATGTATATACATGTATAAAAAATAAAACAAAAGACAGATATAGCGTATCTAGGCCTTTCCCGGGTTGACAAATACATGTATATATTAAAGTATTAGTAAAATGGGTGCTTGCGATCCTTCATCTAGCTATAATCGAGGTTGTACATGTACATTTATATCCAACGGCGTTTGTGTATAAGGAAGTATTTAGTACTTAGAGCTGGGGTTAACAAACAAGAACAATCAGATGATTTTCCTTGTGTATTTTGCTTTATAACATATGTACATATGTAGGTACATGAGTACATGATTGAGGTACACGTCACTGTTTCATGCACATTGCAGTTACAATTAAATAATGTCGATTTCTGTATATTTCGGACCTTTATTTTCAAATCAGACCAGCTATATCATCAGGATTTATGACAACTGTTATATTTTTCAGTTTCCATAAATGCAATCTTTGAGGAAATATACGTTTATATTCGCCATTCATCTTTATGAGTTAAAAATAATCCAACACGTAATACATATTTCTAATAATAATATTAAAAATGATATACAACATTTATATAGCGCCCTATATAATTTGTAAAATTACTCTAAACCACCGCTTTACAACATATGGATAATAGTAATAGTTAAAACAAAAACAAAGGCTTACAATCAATTTTATACATTTAAGCAAACAATGTGCACATACACACACACAACATGTAATTGAACAAATACATGACCTCTTTGCAGAGACCATACAATGCAGATGTGAAGAGGTGAGTTTTGATGTCCCTCTTGAATTTGGCCAGGGTATTTGACTTTCTAATAGCAGATGGTAAGCAATTCCACAACGTGACCGAAACCCTCCCAAAGCACTGTTTTCCATAGGTCAGAGTACGATATTTTGGGACACACAACAATGATTCTGACACCGACCGCAGTGCTCGTGACAGCTGATATATGGTAACAAGCTCCGGCATTTTACTGATGAGCTGTTCCATCCAGTGCCCTGTACGTGTGCACCGAAATTTGTACTGCGACCTGTATCGTACAGGTAACCAGTGCAATGAATATAGCACAGATGTGATGTGCTCTCTCTTTAGAGTTAGAGTAACCAGCCGTGCTGCATTGTTCTGGACCCTCTGCTGACGACTAGTTAGTTTGTTAGATATACCACAGAGCAGGGCGTTACAATAATCAAAACGAGAGGTAACAAGTGAATGCACAATCTTGCATGCACCTTCAGTTATAAACTGCCGAATACAGCCGATGCTCCTGATCTAGTATTAACAGGATTTGGCAATAGCGTTAACTTGTTTATCCATGTTCAGTGAGCTATCAACGTATACCCTTATGTTTTTAACAGCTGGAACAGACTCAATAGTTCAAGCACCGACCTTGATCTGGTGAGCCATTGTTTGCTGAAACTTTTGGGAAAAGACGATAAGTTCCTAGTAGGAACTATTATTTCCTTAGTAGGAACTATTACTTCCTTTGTAGAATCGAATACTGTTGATGGTATGAAACTTTGTCCCTTACAACAAATATACAAGATGAAGTGCGTTGGAAATATACATTGCATAATCCATTTGCAAGAGAAAGTAAGCTTTGAAAACGTTTTTATAAAGGAATTATAACAAATGATTATGTAATTTGATATATGTCCTGCTTTCTATTCTAGATCAATTAAAAATGTCTTCAGAGTCAGAAAGCATGCCGCATAGGTATGTATTAGAAAAAAGGAAGTTGTGTTACGTCACCTAATAAATTAGACGGATACTATAACATGACTGTAAACAATATCCGGATCAGCACCTGCATTCCGCACTTAAACAGATACTCAAAATAATTTGTGGCATTGTTATCAATTGTTTGTAAATATATTTTTAAAACTTAATATATTTACATACATATTACCGAAAATAATTAATATCTGTTTCAAAAATCGTATTCCTTTTAATTGATCTAGAATAGCAAGCAGGACATATGTCAAATAACACAATCATTTTATTGTGCATAGACCTTCATAACTATATGAGAAATTATGTATTTAGGAATCTGTCATATTTAACAACTAATTATAAACGTCTAGATAACTAACATACGCGTATATTGGTACGGTTTTATGATGTATGGGCATCTATATGATTACAGTGAAGACATACGAATTAAAAACCTAACCTTTGAAGATCAATGTTAATTCGATAAAAATGTAATTTTCAGATGTAATATTGTAATTATCAAGAACATTCCATAAAGTCTAGTTTTTGTTTTTCCTGTATATATATATATATTAAAGTATAAGTGGAACGTGTCATAGCGATCCTCTATCTATATATAATCAAGGCTGTTCATGTACATTTATATCCAACGGCGTATGTGTATAAGGAAGTATTTACTTCTCACATCTGGAATTAAGGAACAACATCAGTTAAATTATTTTCCTTGTTTATACATAAACAACAAAGGTGTAGTTTAAGTTTATACATATAATTGAATTTAAAGACTCACTGCTCTGTCATCCTATACAATACGACTGTATCACTCCCTCTGTAAATCCAAGAAACTATTATTAGTATTATATAGCATTGTAATACATCAACACATACAGATATTTAACATTTGGTATTACATGGGGGGCTGGCATAATTTAAGCTAACGGTAATTCAGCTAACTGGGAATGGCAAGATATTATATGATATTATGCAATATCTATATACTCTTGCTTTCATGTCCCAGAAGAGTTACTAGGGGTATTTATGGGGACTATATACCGCGTATGTAAAACTGTAGTGTATTCGAGCCGCCGTGAGTCTCGAGAGGTGAGCCACCCAAGAGCCATTAGTTTCAATGGAAAACCCATGTGCCACACTCGGTCCGATGAACCCCAACCCCACTAATTAGATACAACCAGACTGCCAGGTCCGACAGCTGTACAGACCAGCCCAATCGCCGTAAGTCTCAGGGGTTTCTTCGCCGTGAGTCGTTTAAACAGCCTGATTTTATACTACACATGTACACTATCTGAATAGTTAGTAATATAACACTTGGGGCCAAAGAACGTAACAATAGGCCGTAAAAGCCGAAAGGGTTATTGAGTAGTGGATAGCCATTTAAGACCTGTTAGCTATATATCATGCCAGCTCCTAATATTATGCGTGAAGTAACTGTTGGAAGAACATTAGCTCCTAAATAACTTGTTTATATAATATGTATATAGATGGATAAAGGCTGGTGGCGGGGGATGGTGGCGGTTCGATGATGTTGAGCTGTCTAATGGTGGTACGTCTTTCACCCAGCAAGAAAATGTTAAAACTGACTTTGGTGACGCAATGTATGTTTATTATCTTAATTGCCGCGCATTATTCCTGCAACCTGATTGGCTAAGATGCTGATGCTAACCAGTGGTCAATGGCCTTGGCCTTATCTACATTCCTGTGTTCTGATTGGCTACATGTGCTGATTATGGTCAATGACCTTCACCTATCACTATACTTACACTGTGGTCATGCATGGACATGCTGATCTGTATTTATACACACATGCTCTGTGGGCTGTGTAAGATGGTATTATATAATAAAATACGCAAGTCTGTGATACTAAGTTAGTAGCCTGAAGTCACTGTTCTCATTGTATGATATATACTGAAACCTATAAATGTTGATCAAAATATTGTGTGTAAATTATTTGTAGTAAAGGGTACAGTTTGTGTATACACTTGTTTTTGTACTTTGTGTATACAAACTCAATTTATTTTCCTTCATAACATATGTTCATATGAAGGTTCAATGGCCAGGAGTATATGATTAAGTTACAAGCCACTGTTTCAATAACAGTACAGTTACAACTTAAATATTACCGATTTCTGTATATTTTCCACCTGTCGTTTCATTTATCGGCTTCTTTGTTTTTCGAGGATTGAATATTCAAAATTATGTACAAGTAAGAACAGCTATATCATAAGGATTTATGACATCTGATATTTTGTTCCGGTAACTAAACTGTCTTTTTTGGGAAGGTATACATTTATATTCGCCATTCATCTTTATCATATAAAAAGAATCCACCACACGTAATGCATATTTCAAACACTGTTGAAGGTATGAAACGTTGTTGCTTACACGAAATCTACAAGATGA